TATTTATTTATTTATTTATTTATTTATTTATTTTTCGATTTATATCCTGCCTTTTTCCTACAAAGGGCTCAAGGCAGCTTATATCATTCTCCTTCTCCAACTTATCCCCACAACAACAACCCTGTGAGGTAGGTTGGGCTGAGAGTCTATGACTGGCCCAAAGTCACCCAGTTGGCTCCATGGCTGAGTGGGGACTAGAACCCAGATCATCTGAGTCCCAGTCCCATGCTCTTAACCACTACACCACACTGGCTCTCATTTACCTCCTATCTGATGTTGATTTTCTGAGCTTGGAGAAGCAGCCTGCACCATTCTTTCCAAACTGTCTGGAAGGAGCAGAAAAGGAAGATCAGAGCATGGATTACCAACTCTGAGGTCTGAGCATCATTTCCCTAGGAATCCTAGAAATCCTATGCTGCTCTCCACCAGACTGATATCAATGGACCATAGGATAGTTCTCTAAAAGGAATACATCTTCATACAACATAAAATGCAACCAATTTATGAAATCCACTAGTGGTGATGGTAGCTTAGATAACTTTAAAAGGTGACAAGTCACATATACAGTATCTTCTGTCTGTGGTTATTAGTCATTGTCAAGAAGGAAGCGTTCATTCAGTTTCTACATTAAATGTGAATATGTCTAATTTTGCACTGCTGAGCTACCATGCAAATTGAAATTAAGTTATCCTTCAAAATTTGCACTTATCCAAGGTTTACAATGATGTTCACCAGTTCAAAATGCATCTATTGGGGAATATAGCATCAAAATGCATCACATTAAGAAAATTGCTTACAGAAATGTGCTTGTTAGGCAAGAGTCCATACAGGAATGCGTATATGGAAGACATGCACAAAAATGACGTGGTGACTGATACTTTGTACTTTAACTTCCACCAGTCCCAGTTAGTATGGCCAACAGATAAGAAAGCTGCTGATTGTAGTCCAAAAGATGTTGTCACATTAGGGGACACTGGACTACAGATCCTGGATACCAGTTGCTGGAGAGAAACGGCAGGAGAGGCTATGGGCTCCCCCTGGCCTTCCTTCTTTGGCCCCACCCCACTTTGGGAACCAGGAAGCTGGACGCATCACTCTAGGTGGCGTACGCAGTGCTGCTTCTTACAAGCAAGCTGCACAACACACATAGTAATGTGGAAAGATGGCTGGTGTGGCGAAAGAGCCAGACTAGCTAAGTGGCTCAAGAAAAATGGTAGACAAGTAACACAGACAGTAAGCCAACTGCTTATTGGAAAGATCTGTAGGTAATGCTTCCCTTTACTCAGGAGGCCCATTCAAAGTGGGCTTTCCTTGGGAATAAGTGGGTCTAAGCACTGCAGCTTGCAGTTGAGGGAATCTATTAAACTGGGGGTGTGGGACTACAGTGCCTGGGGCCAAATTCGGCCCACCTGAGATTCCAGTCTTGGGTTCCCTAGATAGCCATACTACTTTCCTTGGCTCTGGCCTTTTCCTTCAGCCACCAAGCATTGGGTGCTTTCTTGTCTTTTATGCAGTTTTTCACCACTCTAAAAGGTTTAAATGCCCTCTTAAGGCTTAATTCCTGGAAGTACAAGTGTTAACCTAAAATATGCTGGTAGTTTGGGTATTTTTGCCCCCTTTTTACTTTTAGCCCGATCGCTGTTTGCATGCATCCCTGCCCACTACAGCTGGATCTTGGACAGCATTAGACGGAAGGGTCTCAATGTACTTGCGACTCATTGAATCTTATTTGTTTGGATTAAGTTTCACGGGAATTGCATCCAATATAGTGTACCTCAGGAGCAGACAATATGGTGCTTGGGGACACCAGTGTGCCCCCAGACACTTTTTCAGTGCCTGTCAAGATGCTTCCTCTCTCCCTCTGGCCCATTTTTTAGAAAAATTAACGCATTTCCTTGCTGACAGCCGGGATTGCTTTAAAGTCAAATGGGGGCCTTCAGCCACTGCCAGTCTTCATTGCTCCCAAATGCCTCTGGGTCACGGTTGGTACTCCATGGAATTAATAAGAGCATGCAACACATTCCGCTGCCAGTTCATAAGGGTGGGGACACATCTGCATGAGTGAATTGCCTTTTCAGTGTGTATTGTCAAGCAATGGGCATGGAAAAGTCAGCAACATTATCCTGCCATGAGAGCTTAATTTCATCCAAGCTTCACCCAGGGGTTCAGCCTCAGAAGTTACTTTCAAAGGTAGGATTCAGCCCTGGAGAGTGTGAAGTAACAACTGAGCATCACCTGTGGATTGATCCTCAACCCTGCTAGGCTAATTAGCTTTGGTGAGGACCACTCCCAGCTTCAAATTAGGGAGTAGGTCTTGGGCATAATGTCCATAGAGGATCCCCCTTGGAGCTTGGTCATGCTAACTGAAAGTTCTCTAAGGATACCTCTGAGAGACTTGAATTCTCTGTGCAAAGTGAATGGTAGTCCTATTAGGACGGTGAATGCTCAGCTAGACTTGGGGCCCTGGCAAATGTCCACCTGTGCTGTCCTCTTGATCCAGCTCTGATGCTGACTGATGGGGAATGCTTGCCCCTGGTTGAAATATATTAATAAGAAAGTCCATCTATTTGGTTATTCACTGTATCAACTTTTCCCACTTAGCTGGGAAAAGCAACTGCTTGTCCTAGAGACATTTTGGATTCAAATCTGGTAAATTTGTCAGCTTTCATGAATGGTATCTGCTAATCATCAGAATGTAGCCTACAGAGAGGTGAGAAACTTGTGGCCCTCCAGATGGAAATTGTAGGTGAAAACATCTGGAGGGCCACACATGCGCACCCATTGCCTGTGGTTGATTATCAGCCTGTTAGCCTCCTGCCAGCCTTGCATATGTGGAGGAGCCTTCCCTCTGGTTGCTCTAAATATATTGTCATCAGCAGCTATGGAAGGGCATTTTACAGGGTTACCTTGACACTTGAGAGTAGGAGTGGAACCATCTGTTAGCTTTGCTTTCTCCCACATCTCAAGTTCTTTCTATCCCATTTTCAAAGAAATTTGCAAATCTTGATATGCTCTTATTAAAAAGCAAGCAAGGAAACAAACGAAACGAGCCAGGTGAATTCCTCATCCTTCCATACTAGCTAAATTCAACAAGTACAGCTATGGAGCCAATTAGGGTATATCTTCCTCCCATCTAGCTGCAAAGGATAAGGAACCCTTTAGAAACAGAGCAGTGGTGGCCCTGGCATGACTGAATTCAAGTACATAAAGACCTGAGCACAGAAAGGACCTGGCCTGCATGAGCAAATCTGCCTGCTTTGCTTTCTCCTACATTCACTTTTTAAAAAACAATCTCCATTTCTTCCCAGACTGCTTATGAACTGAATGAAGTTCCCTGCTGAAGGATCAGCCCTTCTAGAAGTGTTATGGTTGAGACACTTGCCCATGTTCTCTTATATTATGAGTTTTATAGGGATATAACATCCCAATTTATTTTCTCAGTACTTTACTGGCAGATAGTAATATTAACACTGCGGAGAACACAGCTATGTTTCTTGGTGTGCTTGTTAAAATAAGGTCAGAGCTATTGAAGGGAAGAGGTGATCCAAGCCTAAAGTCATTATACTGCACTTGTTGGCTTCCCACAAACAGCTGGTTAGCCACTGTGTGAACAGGGCGCTGGACGAGATAAGCTTGATCCAGCGTGACTCTTCTTATGCTCTTATATTCTAATGGCGGATTACAAATAGATTTTATTATACTGTTATCATTTGTTAGTATTTGTTGACTAAGACACCGTATATTGTTTTGGTTTCACCCTTATTGTTTCTGATTCATCAGTGTTGCACTTTTTAGGATAAGAACAGTAGAGCAAAATAAATCTTTGGGATGCAAATTGCCATTGAGCATGAGCTGAGTGCGTTTCCTTCTTCACTGGACAACTGCCACTCACCTGAACACCTTTGAGGCTGGAGAACAAGACTAAGAGGGTGCCTGCCTCAGGGTGGCCTGGTTCAGGCCTCCCTTGGCTGGTAGCTAACCCTGCCCTAGTCTGGGATGAGATGGGACAGGGATTAAGCCAAACTACTCATCATGCAGCTAGTCCCAAGTTTCTGAGGGCCAGGCAAGGTGAGCTCCACAGGCTCCCTCCCTCAGTGACCCTCCCCCTCCCTTACCAGCCGTTCTGGTTTCTCCTCCTCATTCTTGCTGCGACTTGCTTGTTGCAAAGGCAGGGGCCAGGGGACAAATGGGAGGAGCGTCTACTACTCCGCCTTCTTTAGCCCTGCCACTGCTGTTCTCTGGCCTGAAGCCAAAGATGGCTGCACAAGCAGGTGGCAGTGGTCAAAAGGAGGAGCGAGTCTGGGGACGTACTGGTGGACCCTGGGCAGGTGCCTACCTGTGCCTGCAACTGACTCTTGCCCCAGGTGTGGTGCGTACTGCAGCTGCCACATTCCCAATATGGCAAACACAGGCTGGAGTCAAAGTCTCCAGATGTTCGCCTCACCTCCTTTATTATGGAGACCCTTCCTGAAAGTGCAGGGAAAAGGCAGCAGCCAGATTAGGCAAAAGCCTTGGCCTTTCCCTATAGCACAGCTGCTCCAATGACTGCAACAGAAAAGTTACCCCGGTTCTCCATATGCACCCCCCTCGCTCAACTATTAAATGCACAGGAGCCCACGCCACACTGTAGATCAGCCTTCCCCAACCTGGAGCCCTCCAGGTGTGTTGGGTCATGACTCAGCGCAAAGGCAATACTGTCTGGATATGATGGGAGTTGCAGTCCAATACACCTGGAGGGCATCAGGTTGGGGAAGGCTGCTACGAGGTTGTTGGTCCTGGCAGCGCACAGGTAAACCCACGCCATCTTGCTGCTGCCGGGTTTCAGAGGGCTTCAATCAACAGATACAGTGTGGTTCAACTGTGAAGCGCAAGGCCAAACGGATTGGGTGTGGTCCAGCTACCAAAGCAGCTCTAAAGCCTTGTATAAATGCTGTTTAAATTGGGATTAGCAGCTGCTTTGTGTTACTGGAGCCGCTCAAAGCAGTTGCAGCACACTGATCTTTCCTGGACATCGGCGACAATTTAATCGCATTCTTCACTGAATGTTGGAAGACCCAGGCGGAAATTGCAAACACAAGCACTACAAGATGTGCAAAACCTCTTCTCCCGCCTCACTGGATACAAGAATGCTTAGGAGTACCTCAACACCTGCTAGGTTTGAAATCAATCAGCTACAAGAGCTGGCCCTGTAGCAAAGGCTCCGCAGTGAACAGTGCCTCTGCGTGGTGCTCCAGCCAGCCTTCTTCCCGGCTACCCCATTCCAGCCTCCTTCCTCACCCAGCAGACACTCAGCAGTACGTGGCCACTGAATACTGGACTGCTTTTGGTGGGTGATTTTGTTACTGCTGTCCGAACAGGTTTTTTCTCCAAACATTTCCTGTAGTTCTGCAAACATTGTGGTTTTCTCAAGCATGCCAGTATCTCTATTGTGCTTTTTAATAGTTGTTGCAACTCAGCCCCTATCTATAGATAAACAGGGCATCTTTCAGCTTTCTGTTCCCTCTGATTCTGTTATATCCTCATGCAACCAAAATCCAGATGGGGCTATAGAGATAGTAAAAGGGTTGATTCTTAATGGCTGGGGTTTGGGGAGGGGGGATTCTGCTTGTTTTGAGAAATGGGGTTAGCTTCAGCAGGATCCCAGGTGTCTTTTGTTCCTGTGGGGAAAATCTAATTCTTCTATTGCTGTAAGGGCAAACTTTTCATCAGCAGTGACTGGCCTGAACTTCACAGAAAGAATCCCACAAAGGGTTTAATGTTTAAAGGATTTAAAGAAATCTCCTTTGCTCTGCACCCTCTTTCAGGTCCTTATTCTATGCAAGCCTTCCTCCAAAAATGCTCATCTCTATGACAGCTGCAGTAATTGCTAGCCAGTATCAAAGCAGAAATCGGCATAGAAGCTGAAATCAACACTTCCATTCATCATAATGACATTGCCACAATGAAAATATCCAACACAAAGGCCAAAGACGTACATCAAGGAGCAATTGGAGAGGAAACTTGTGTTGTTGTTGTTGTTCACAACATGAGTCATTCTCCAACTTTGCCATGTTCAAGAAATAGTCTGCAAAATCAGCAAGCAATCCTGAATGCAAGAACATGATTTAAACAAGAGACTGAAGGGCCCCCTAGGTTTAATGTTCATCTCTGGAGAGTCCCTGCTTTAATCATCTCTCTCTCACAACTCCCATTAAAGCCCAGCACTGTTTACAATGGAGGTAAATCACCTGCTAATTTCATGATCTTGCTTGTAAGGATACTGTTCCAAGAGTTCTATCATAGTTCCAATGGAACGGCATTGCATATCTGTTGAAGAACACTGTGTATTTAACAAGTTGTTCTTGGATCAAATCTGCTCTAACCTCAAACATAAACTTCATTTAACAATGTTATTTTTTGATATTTTGCTGCAGAGCTACACTGCAAGGAAAATACCAGTGCTAGGACATGAGACAGGGTCTCCTTGTCCCCTCACCCTTTGGTGCAAGCCAAGAGTGACACATTGTAATAGCTGAGAACTTTTAACACTTCACCCCCACATTACAAAACAATCAAGGACTTACAGTGATTGGAAAATAATAGCAACAACAATAGTAGTAGTAGTAATAATAATAATAATTAATAATAATGGAGTTGTATGTTCCTTGGCCAAATGGGCCTATAAACTTAGCCTGGAAAATGTAATAGTCCCTTAAAGGATTATTCAGGAACCTGACAGAAATCTTTCATGTATACCTTTATAGTTCTTTTCTGTCAATATGAGATGGTGGGAGTTATAAGAAAATACTTACAATGATTAACAATTTGGCTGCTGGTCTTTTCAACAGGTCAGGGAGTGCCCAATTTATTGTGTGTCCAAATTGAATGGAAAACAGAGGCCTTTAAAAGCATGTCCTGGCAGTGGGTGGAGTTTATTGAAGCATCTGATTACATTTGGACTCCGTACTGTGCAAGGCTGTGACTAAACACCCCAGAATGAATGACCATTTATATTTTGCAGCTGGAATTTCTACGGATCTCTCTCCTTCAGGGGAAGATTCGGTGTCTGCTGTTCTTGGAGAGCAGCAGTCCAAAACAGTGGCTCATAAGGAAGCCAACAGACGGCTTGCTCCATGGCTTTTACACCTTCTTTGCCCTCCTCCGGCTCCTCCTCCTCAAGACGCTTTAAATCAAGCAGTGCGTCTGAATGCTTGAGTGAAAGTTGGGTGAATGCCGATTCGTGACTGTATCAAACTAGGATGCTCGTCGTTGACTGAAAAGGCTTTGTAAAGCCATAGCTGTGGCAATAGGAACACCACGCACACATGCGCGCTTTTGAAAAATCTGCTGAATCACATGATTGCCTATCTTAAGAGGGACCCTTAAGGTCCAAGTATCAACCCATTCTGTGGAAATTTTCATGCTAGTAGCTACACTGTACAAGACAACACTGCAAGTAACTGATATGGAAGTATATACAATGGATACCTTCAAAGGAATGCAAAGGAAGATTTGAGCAAGAAGTCTTTGGACACTAATGTGTTGATTGCTGTTAGCAGTCCACATGGATCTAGCAGAATCAATGCAAGTGGCACACCCCAATATTTTGAGAAGTCCTCATTTTAGTTCTTATCTCTTCCTAAAGATATTTCCCCCCTCCTTTAGCACTTGGGGACTGCAGTTGCTATCTTCACTATACTCACTAGGGCCACGATCCTAAACCCATATCCCTGGGTGTAAGTCCCACTGAACTGAGTGAGACTTACTTTGAAGACACATACACAGGACCGCACTTTAAGTCCTTGAAGGCAGTAAGTCTTAGTTCGCAGTTAACATGCTTAGATATACACATCATTCTTGGGGAATTGGTCTTTTGGTATAAACTAGGATGGCTCAATTTGCTGCAGTGGTAGACCACTGCTGAACTGGTTCGTCACTTGGGATCTCTATTGTACTGGAGAGCTTATATTAAAAGTACTGGATACTTTAGATCTTCCTCTCCAGTAAAATGAGCATTGGATGTTTGCCACCACTTTGCAGTTGTAGTCTTGACCCTTCCATGGCTGTTGACTTCAGCAAGATTTGTATGACACACTGTTTTCTTCTACTGTAAAATTATGTTATAAAAATCCCCTGTCTTAAAATAAAATGGATGCAACCTATTTAGGAAAGGTAGTTTAAAAAATAACTACACTACACTAAACTAAATTGGCATTTCTTGAAGTGGAGACTCTGTCAGCTGCACACAAGTCTGCCTACAAATGGGAACAAAACAAAACAAATCTTGGTTCTTGAAGGATATAATTTTTCTGAGAATGGAAACTTGAGTGAAGGCCAGCTGACAGAAACAGAGGTCAGTGCTTCTACCAAAGCCAAATCTACCTAAAAAGAGTGTATGTTCCCAAAGAGCAATGCATAGTAATAGCAGATTAAAAAATGTTTACTTTTTGTCAAACTTTGCTTGACAAAAGCCTCCTTGCAAAGGACAACTTAAAGTTGGATCAGAAGATATTTCTTCTTTCCCTAATGCACAGTTGCTTAAACTTAACATGAATCTGCATGACCAGAAAGAGCTGTAGATGGTTTCTATTTTAGAAAAGGAAAAACAAGCTTCATTTTGACTGTAACAGGAACGCATAAGGAAAAAAAAGAGAAGAAGCAAATTTCAACATTGCCAGCAAACAGCTGTCACGAAAGCTGCCTTCAATTTTAATTCTGTGCTCAGATTAATTTTAGAAAATTGAACCAGGTACCTGATGGCTAATGCCTATCACAATGTCAGCATTTGCACCTGCAGAGAAATGCAAAACTTCTGGTTCCATGCTCAGCAGCATAAGCTACAGAAATGATGTCAGTGGAAATTTCAGATATGACAGAGCCAGAATTTTTGCAAAAAAAAGTTTCCCCAACCCAAGTTTAATTCTTATGTACCTGCAATAGATTTACCTTCACAGTTACTTCTGTTCAGACACTCCACACAAGCAATCATTCCTCAGCCCTTTTCAGCAGTTCAGTACAGAAATTCCCAGTACAGAAATAATGTCACCGAAAAGTGCCTCACAGACTTCTAGCCAGAATCAGATCACACACAGTAAAATTATTATTACTATTGTTTAAAGAAATCAAATAGGAAGAAAGATTTACCTTCAAGAAATCACAAAAGCAGCACTTAAATAATTGTGTTGAAAGACTGTTGATTTTTCCCATTGCTTCTTAAGTGAAAACTCTGGAAATGAATTGGTTAGCAGAAATAATGAGAGGGGGTGGGGGAGAAAAAAAGAAAAAAGAAATCCAGAGAGGTGAGTTGTTGAGAGCAATTTCACATTTCAATATTGAGGACTTTTTATTCCATTGCGCAGGCTCGATCTGCTCTGATTTTAGCAGTGACAGTGAGATTTAGCAAACAGAAGAGGGATTTAGAGAAAATCCTTGCATTTAGCTACATTACAGACACTGTAGACAGGAAACAGCTGGGGGAACATTTGCGTTCTCTCTCTCTCTTTCTCTCTCTCTCTCCCTCTTCTGGCAAAGTTACTGAATAAGGACTTTTTTGGGCACGGTGACAAATAACATCATACCTTTGCATTTTGAAACTGGAGCACGAAAGCACTTTTTAAAAATCCCCTCCCTCCTTAAAAGAACGCACATTAGTGAAGGGAAGCGGGGAGCAGGGTGGAAACACCATAGTTTAAGAAGTCAAGGAAACTGAGGCTGCAACGGGAAATGAAATGCACATATCACGTTTTAGCCGGCTGCAATAGACACCAGAGAGCAGCTCATGCACCTCTGCCTCAGAGGATCCAGGAACCTGCTGGGCACGGTTGTGCACTGAGCCATCCTCGAAACCTGGCTCTTGCCAGCATTAACCCTGAAGTGACAGTTTGCAATCTGATCCATAGAGCGGGCCTGATGGGGGCTTCTTTATGGTTGTTAAATCACTTTATGCTCTTCCTACTGCAGCACGAGCTGGTACCATTTCTTAAAAAACAAAACAGAGCGCAGGTTTTGTTTTTCTGTTTTGCTATGGCTGAATGCATAGGAATAGAGACAACTAGTCAGATCCTTGGTCCATCCAGCTCAGTGCTGTCAACAGCAACCAGCGGAGGCTGTCCAGATTGCAGGCAGGACTTCTTCCCCAGTGCTTAACTGGAGATGCTGGTGACAGAAGCCAGAACCTTCTGCGTGCAAAGCAGGTGCTCTTCCAGTGAGCCACAGCCCTTCTCCTTCCTTTGCTGTCCCTTATTGCTTCCTGAGAGTTTGCTTCTGCATGTTGCTTATTTTAAAGTAACAATTAATCCGAGGGGTTAAGCATAGGAAAAGGAGAATTAGCTGCAGCTCACTGAAGGAGGAAGTCAGCAGAAGGTTCCTGGCTTCAAGTTCCAGGCTCCAATACTTTGAATGGTAGGAACAGACAAGTGAAGCTCTTTATGACGGCCTTTACCAACCTGGTACTCTCCAGGAATGTTGGTCAATAACTCTTATAGCTGGGAGTGCATTCTGGAAGTTGTAGTCCAACACCTCTGAAGGGTACCCGGTTGGGAAAGTCTGCTTTAATGCATGGAGAGAAAGATTATTACATGGCTACAACTGCAGGACAACCTGTGGCTAAAAGCAGAGAAGTAAGGGCCCTTAAAAACCGGGCTCCTGAGCAGGTAACATGGTGACGTTGCTGTCACACCACACGGAATCTGAAGGAACTTGTGCTTGCCTTTGTCCTCATGCCTCCCCTCCCCACAAATATGCAAACCGACCTGAAGAACACATGTGGGTCAGCCATGCATTCTCTTAGGTTATGATGCTATTTGAATCCAGTAGATGTGTGAGTAGTTTGCAATATGCTCCAAGACAGCTGTTTTTATATATCATGCAGACTTGACTTCGAAGTCTTAATCACTGAGAATTAACAATGTAATTTCACGGGCACAATCTGCGCTTTCATTTTGGAAGCGGATAGACAGATCTATGCTTAGGAAGGGCAATGTGTGTGGAAGATAGCACACGCACTCGCCTTGCCTTACCTCTTTCAGTATGATGAGCATCAGGTTGGGAAAAGTTGGTTTAGAATTGTGGAACTAAATCAGGGGAACCCAGGTTCAAATATCCACAAGCTCAAGGACTAACCTGGGGCGAGTCACTCTCTCTTCCACAAGGTTGTTCTAAGAACCTTAGTTTTTAGAACCTTTCTCTAAAATCAAATGTATGTGGTAGATGGCCAGTGTCAGCATGGCTGGCTTCCTTGAGCAGACACTGAGGCCGTGGCAAGTTCCAACACAATGGTTACCCCAGGCTCCCTGTTCCATTTTGTATAGAAGCTAGATCTGGGAGCAACCACCCTATTTGTCCACCATGTCTCCAATGTGATATTATGGGAAATCAGAACAGCAACCGCTTGGAAAGCTGGTGCCATCCGTGACAAGCACACCAGATCTTGCTCACATACAAAGCATGCTTTGAAGAGGGATCCTTCAGACCTTAAGTCAGTCCTGACAGACTGGGCAGGCAGATGGGGGCTACCTATGTCAGCATACGTATCTTGGAAGAAAGGCACAATAAAAATATGATTGATTAAAAAAAAATTAGTCCAACCTTCTTCAACCTGCTGACATCTATATGTGATGGAGTCTTGTTATGTGCTGTCAAGTTGTCTCTGGCAACCCTACGGATGAAAGTCCTCCAAAATGTCCTATCCATGACAGCTCTGCCCAGCTCTTGCAAACTCAGTGGAGTGGCTTCCTTAATGGAATCTTATGTTTGGTCTTCCTTTTCTTCTTGTACCTTCAGCATTCGCCAGCATTATTGTCTTCCTCAGAGAGTTTTCCCTTCTCATGATGTGTCCAAATTATGTCAGCCTCTGTTTTGTCACA